AGAGTGAGACCCAAGCTTTTGAATGACTCAGAGAGTGGCAATTTTATGTTATTAAGTTTAATTGTTATGTTATACTTTGCATGGGTTAAATGATTATCATTTCCAAAGAGTATTACTGAAGATTTATTAGGGTTAAGCTTTAGGATGTGATCTGTTGCAATGCTAAAAAAATTTGATAAAACAGTATTGATGACATCCTCCGCGGTAGCTATTTCTTGAGGAAAAAATGAGTAGTAAATTTGAGTGTCATCCGCATAAAAATGACAGTTGCATTGGTGGAGGGCTCCAATGAAGTTAAAAGTAAAAATAGTGTACAACAAGGGACCAAGAATGCTGCCCTGTGGAACACCCGTGCGAACACCTAGGAACGATGACTGCTGCTGATTGTAGACAACCCGTTGTGTCCGACCTGACAACAAGGAACACAGAAACTTTCGAGCACCTTCGGAGAAACCAACGTAATGGAGAATGGCCAAGAGAATTGAATGATTTATCATATCAAATGCTTTACTGAAATCCAACAATATTAAAGCCGTTATCTTTCCATCGTCAGTCGCTCTAAAAATGTCATGAGTAATGTCCAGCATGGCACTCTCACAACTGTGATTAGGTCTAAAACCAGACTGTTTCTCTGGTGGAATATGATTAGAATTTAAAAAGTTTACCATTTGATCGTTCATAATTCTTTCAAGTACTTTAGATAGAACAGGCAATATGCTAATTGACCGCAGGTGACTAAATTCGCTTGGATTGTTTATTTTCGGTAAGGGGATGACTTGCGCCCGCTTCCATGTTGACGGGAAGTACGAATTTAAGATACACTCATTTATTATATATCATGATACATTCTTCCTTCATGTATCGAACATGAAGGAAGAATGTTTTCAATTATTCTTTTGCTTCTAATATACCCAGATCTCATTAAAGTGGAAACAAAAACCATTTAAGTATGTGGAAATCGTTGTTTACAAAAAAAAGGCGCAAAATGCAGTTTGTCGTAACGAAAATATTTCAGCTGCCTGAGGCAGATCAATTTATTTACATACCTTATTTTATCTAACAACTATGGATGTAAGAGGCAAATTTAACCCATATCCACCTAAAGGATACGGCAAATACTTTTGTTGTCGTTCTGAGATCGTCTAAAGGAAATATGACAAATTCTGGTTGATATTTTGGTTTAAAGATGGATGAGTTTTTGAAATTACATAAATAGTTTTGTTACAAGCGCTCAATTTATTACAAATTATTTATAAAATTTATTTAAGAGTGATGAGTACATTTACACTTCCAACTTTGACACATTTTAATACATTTGAAGAAAATGAAAATATAGAGGTATTTTTGGTATTTTTACTTTAAGTTTAACATGATGTGATATCGATTAAAAGCCGAAGTCTGTATTCAAATCGCTCGTACATCAAAAAGGCCCATCATTTTTCCTAAACGTGAAGGCAGAATGTATTCAATTATTCTTTTGTTTCTAATTTTTTTAATTCTAATTTTTGTTTGTACCACCATTATTATTATTTGTTACAGTACCCCAAATTGTCAACCCTCAATTGTAGCCCAATGGGTTCGCCCCACAGAAAATATAAGCAAATGATAATTTCTTGTTATTTTGTAAGTCATATGGTATTTTTCTTGTATTATTAGTTTAAATTTTATACATAGCCCTATAAAAAATATTTTTTTATTTAAATGATTTTTTCGGGATAATGATTAAAAATTTAACGTTTGGATATTTTACTTTAAGCAGAGCTTAATTATTTGTAAATGATAAAATAATAATTGTTATTAAATTATTATCAGCTGTCAGGAAAAATTAAACTCTTATCTCAATATATCTGGCTATCTCTAATTTTAGCGAATCTCAAAATATTACTCTGTCAAAATTAGTTGTATTAGGCCTAAATATTATTCGATATACAACGGTTTTATCGAATATCGTTTCAATTTACAATGAAATATTGTTTAAGGCATTTATTTCGGATAAAATTCAGCAAAATTTGCGACGCATCAAGCTTTTATAAAATGTTTCACACCTTAGTGGCTCTGGCATTTTTAAAATGCACAATCCAAGATTGGTATTATAACACACTGACAATATAATTTGCCCCAATCTTCTTCACTAAGATATAAAATGGTTTCTTAAATTACTAAATGACAAATTGTTTTCATTGTGCTCGCATTAAAAAATATGTTGCGCACTATACAAACATTTTGTAGCATTTTTATAGTACTTCTCTGGTCCCATTTTATAGAGTTGAATATGAGACGCATTACAAAACTGTTTAGAACAGTCGCACAAAACTTGTATAAACTTTTAATAGAACTATTTTGCTACCAAATTGTTGTATCCTATAAGACATAACTTACAGTTCATTTCATCGATATCTCGTTCACAAAGAAACTGCTAGAGCAATGGATATTATTGTAAAATTGAACTGAGGTGGCTTTTACTTAATGAAAATCCATTTATCAAAATAAATAAGAACTAAAGGTTCAGATTTTCACGAAATCATATATTATGACATGACAATTGTTTCGACAACACCGTCTCTTTATCAAATGTAATATTCACAAACTACCTGCTACTATATATACCGAAAAATGACCATAAAACCTTAATTAATGGAGAGGAGAGGTATTTAAATCTAATTGATCGTTAAGCAATACATTTAAATGTCTCATTTTGTTAATCTCCATGGCTTCCAATAAATTTAATTTTCTACTTTTTGTGGATGTGTGTAATATACCAAAATTGTCGTCAAAAATGTGTTTTTCTGTGTTTAAGTGTGTAGCATAATTAGAATCTAGACTATTGTTTTTAAACGCTCTTATATGTTCGTTAATGTATTTCTTGAAGGATCTACCTGATCTACCTGTCCAATATATATATATATATATATATATATATATATATATATATATATATATATATTCTCACGTATTGATTCACGGATGGAAAAATGTGATGACACTATATTCCGGGATATCATCCGTTCGCTCGTTGAACTCCGACTGGAATCCTGCATCCGACTGGAATCCTGCAAATCCTGCATCCGACTGGAATCCTGCAGACGCTTCGCCAAAATCTCACTTGGCATCTTCAATGCTTTTTTTTTTTTTTTTTGACGTGATGTCCTTGTCTTTCTCAGTGCGCCATGATGTTAATAATTCTATGCGGTCCTACAGCAACTGATGGATCTTGTTGCTCAGTTTCAGGTGGAGTCTGAAAAGTTGTAGCTCAGTCTCACTAATTTCGTACCGGGTCCGCCTGATCTGGTCTTGGAGTAGGGCCTTGCTAGCTTTGTCCAGGATAGCTTGTGTCTTTCTGGTGCGTGTATGATAAGACAACCTTGTAAATGTTGGCAGCAAGTTCTGGTTGCGGCAGTTTTTAAGAAAATTTAAGTTGCACAGCGAAATAACCCTCCTTTGTCTTAGTTTTTCATAACACTTGGTGGCTGTAAAGGTCTCCTTCCCGTAAAGGTGTATGATATTCTCACGTATTGATTCACGGATGGAAAAATGTGATGACACTATATTCCGGGATATCATCCGTTCGCTCGTTGAACTCCGACTGGAATCCTGCATCCGACTGGAATCCTGCAGACGTTTCGCCAAAATCTCACTTGGCATCTTCAATGCTTGAAGATGCCAAGTGAGATTTTGGCGAAACGTCTGCAGGATTCCAGTCGGATGCAGGATTTGCAGGATTCCAGTCGGAGTTCAACGAGCGAACGGATGATATCCCGGAATATAGTGTCATCATATATATATATATATATATATATATATATATATATATATATATATATATATATATATATATATATATATATATATATATATATATATATATATATATATATATATATATATATATATATATATATATATATATATTATATGTCCAATATAAATTTTAGGACAAGATCCGCATTTCAACCTATCGACACGATATTAATATCATTAAACAAATAGCATTGAACAATGGTTACAATCCGTCCGTTATAGATAAAATTATAAATAAAAAACAAATACAGACAACAGTAAACTCTATTTATCTGAAACCAAATACAGAACACGAACAATTTAAAACAATTATATATTGTTAAAATGTGGTTTTCAGAACTAACAACACAATAGGAAAATATTTAAAAAACAATAAATCGAAATGTCCAAAATCCCAAAAATCAGGTGTGTACAGGTTGAAATGTGGATCTTGTTCTAAAATTTATATTGGACAAACAGGTAGATCCTTCAAGAAACGCATTAACGAACATATAAGAGCGTTTAAAAACAGTAGTCTAGATTCTAATTAGGCTTTACACTTAAACACAGAAAAACACATTTTTGACGACAATTTTGATATTTTACATACAGCCACAAAAAGTAGAAAATTAAATTTATTGGAAGCCATGGAGATTAACAAAATGAGACATTTAAATGTATTGCTTAACGATCAATTAGATTTAAATACCTCTCCTTTATTGCACTTAAATTCTCGCAACAACATTAATTAAGGTTTTATGGTCATTTTTCGGTATATATAGTAGCAGGTAGTTTGTAGATATTACCTTTGATAAAGACACGGTGTTGTCGAAACAATTGTCATGTCATAATATATAATTTCGTGAAAATCTGAACTTTTAGTTATAATTTATTTTGATAAATGGATGTTTATCAATTATTGAACTAAGGTGGCTTTTACTTGATGAAAATCCATTTATCAAAATAAATAAGAACTAAAGGTTCAGATTTTTCACGAATTCAATTGTTTCGACAACACCGTGTCTTTATCGAATTTGATATTGATTTGATAAAGACACGGTGTTGTCGAAACAATTGTCATGTCATAATATATAATATCGTGAAAATCTGAACTTTTAGTTCTTATTTAATTGAATATTATTGTTTTTCACGTCAACACTTCAAATCTTTTTCTATCGAAGTTGCACTTGAATCTGGCAGCTACTACGTTGAACGGTACTTACCTGCGAGGAGTGTAAATGTGGTTGTAGCTGAACACCAAAGCTTGAACGGGCCCGGACGATTGCTTCCAGTAGAGGTAGACAAAGAGGCAGAGGCAAAAGAAAGTGGCAACCATCAAAACCTTACGCAGTTCCACCTGTTTCATAATTTCTTTTCCCTGGAACAACAACAACACCACATTAATTAAAATAACTTTAGAAACCATTTTCTAAAAGCGGTCGATAGATTTGTTTGTCCCGATGGTGCACCATCATTCATATTCAAACATTCTCCGACCCGGGCGGCCTTTTTTGATTGAACGTTCTTTGTCTTAGACGAAAATTCACCCTTATCCACGGAAACATCGATTTTCGTTGTTCGTCCAAGAAATGAAAACTCTAGTCCAATCAATCAAAATACTCTCCCGGTTCGGATAGGCTTCAAGTGCACGTCACGAAAAATCGATTCGGTAAATATTTTAAACCTATTGGAGCTAGAACGTCGAGATTAAGGGGTGCCGCGGGAGTTATCAGACGAGTTCTTGGATTTAACCCTTTGGGACGTAGGTCTAACATAGCTCCATTGTTTCTTTCATATATTGATACCTACTACTGAAGCAAACACTTGCAAAGCAAATATTAAAAAAAATATTGAGAGATGACCGCTAACAGTTCGCTAATTCGACAGCTCTCAGCTTGAACGTGCCATTTATTCCACGGTATTTTGGCAATATATACCGAAATCTCATTAAAGTGGAAACAAAAACGAGTTAAGTATGTGGAAATCGTTGTTTACAAAAAAAAAGGCGCAAAATGCAGTTTGTTGTCACGAAAATATCTCACCTTATATTATTTAACAACCATGGATGTAACAGAGGCTTATTCACCTAAAGGATACGGCAAATACGGTCAATGTCCTTTTGCTAGAAATTTAAAGTGATGTCGTTCTGAGATCATCTAAAGAAAATAGGACTGATTCTGGTTGATATTTTGGTTTAGAAATTATTTATTATATTTATTTGAGAGTGATGAAGATAGTTACAGCTCCAAGATTTCCAAATTTTACTTTTGAAAAAAATGAAAATATAGAAGAAGTTGTTGTGATATCGTCTACACCCATTTTTATTGTCAGGTTCAGAAAGACAGAGAAATATTTGAGTCATATTCACCTGCAGGGAATGATGATTGATTATAGTTGATACCATTAAGATTTCTTTTCAAGAATTGGTTTATTTGCTTATTTTGGCTTTCAAGACGGATAAGTTCTGGAAATTACATAATTAAAATTAAAATTACATTGATGGGGACATTTACACTCCCAACTTTTCCACATTTTAATACATTTGAAAAAAAATGAAAATATAGAGGAGAATCATGGTATTTTTACTATAAGTTTAACGCGATGTTGTCGTTCTGAGATAGTCTCTACCCATATTCATCGACAGGTGCAGAAAGACAGAAAAAAATTTGTTCCATATTCACCCAAAGGAAATATGACTGATTATAACTGATACCCTAGAGATTTCTTTTAAGAAATGCTATGCCTATTTTGCCTATTTTGGTATAAAAATGGCTGAGTTTTTGAAATTACGTAAATGGCTTTGTTACAAGTGCTCAGTTTATTAGAAACTATTTCGTATATTTATTTGAGAGTGATCAAGATATTTGCAGCTCCAAGTTTTCAAAATTATGATACACTGATACCCTGAAAATTTCTTTTCAGGAAATCTATTACTTGCACATTTTGCCTTTAAAGATAGATTGGTTTTTGAAATTACGTAAATAGTTTTCGTCAGGTTCAAAGCAAATTTGTTGCATTTCTACCTGAGGAAATATGACTGATTATAGATAATACCCTGAATATTTTTTTTCAGGAAATGAATTATTTTCTATTTTGGCTTTCAAGGTGGATACGTTTTTGAAATTACATAAATAGTTTTCGTCAGGTTAAGCAAGACAGAAGCAAATTCGTTCCATATTCACCTGAAGGAAATATGACTGATTATGGTTGATACCCTGAAGATATTTTTCAGGACATGACCTATTTACATGGCTTATCTTTAAAGATGGGTGCATTTTTCAAATTACATATATTGTTTTTGTCAGCTTCAGAAAGACAGAAGCAAATTTGTTCTATTGTCATCTGAAGTAAATATGACTGATTATGGTTAATACGCTGAAGATTTCTTTTCAGGAAATGAATTATTTGCATATTTTGGCCTTAAAGATGGATACGTTTTTGAAATTAAATAAATAACTTTCGTCATGTACAGAAAGACAGAAGCAAATTTGTTCCATTTTCACCTGAAGAGTTTTCGTCAGGTTCAGAAAGAGAGAAGCAAATTGGTTCCTTTCTCACCTGAAGGAAATATGACTGATTGTGGCTAATAGCCTGAATATTTATTTTCAGGAAATGAATTATTTGCCTATTTCGACTTTAAAGGTGGACAAGTTTTTGAAATTACATACACAGTTTTCGTCAGTTTCAGGAAGAGAGAAGCAAATTGGTTCCTTTCTCACCTGAAGGAAATATGACTGATTGTGGCTAATAGCCTGAATATTTATTTTCAGGAAATGAATTATTTGCCTATTTCGACTTTAAAGGTGGATAAGTTTTTGAAATTACATAAATAGTTTTCGTCAGTTTCAGCAAGATAGAAGCAACTTTGATCTATATTCATCTAAAGGAAATATGACTAATTATGTTTGACATCCTGAAGATTTCTTTTGAAGTAATGCATTATTTGCCTATTTTGGTTTAGAGATGGACGAGTTTTTGAAATTCCATAAATAAGCTATTATCTTGATTCAGGTTTAAAGGCCGTCGTCGGTTGGGTCCTTCCATCTCCGATGTTGGACGTAGACTCATAAATAGTTTCGTCATAAGCGATCATTTATCATATTTAATAGAGAGTGATGATATTTATAGCTATTACTTTAAATACATTTTAAAAAATTGAAATTATAGAGGAAGAATCGAGAAAGAAGCATTAACTTCTTTGGGCAAATACGCTTTATGGTAACATCGTTATCTTCAATAAGACAGTAGCAAATCGTTTGCATCTTCACTTAAAGAAAATGTTACCGATTACAATTGATGTGCGGAAGATTTATTTTCAAAAAATGTGTTCTCTACCTATTTCGATAAATAGTTTTGTTACAAGCTCCCAATTTTCCAAAAGTTATTTCATATATTCAAGAAAAAAGCAATACGATTTTGTCAAATAAAGCTCTACGATATTTTTGTTATGTTTAACGTGACGTTGTCGTTCTTACAAATTTTACACCAAATTGTTAGCAAATTTACTTCAAGTGCAATGTAAAGGTGTATGTAATGTATAATTTAAACTCAATAAGTAGAAAATAAGTGAAAATGTCACTAATATACGTGCAAAAACTGGTCATCACAACTGCACGAAGTGCGGAAAGAAAACACATATTTATCGCCAACAGAGCCGAAATAACAACTTTGTTTTGATTCGCGATAAGAAGATGGAGTATCGATACCTAACGAAAACATTAACTGTTTTGCATTAGCGGTTCGTTTAAGCAGCACATATGACAGGCAGCCAAATAGCTAGTCCGAAATAATACTGTCGCCTCCTGGCTACAACTTTATATTACTTCTTTTTTTTTTCGATTTTGATCACTGACATGCGGAGCACATTTGAATGAAAAATGTATCATTATAAGGTTATAGTTATATAAGTTACACTTAATACGTAGAAAATAAGTGAAAATGTTATTAATATTGGTGCAAAAAATACCACAAAAATTCAAAATATAAATCTATAATGATTTTTATTGGCTCTAACCATTATGTTTTTAAAGATATCAGACTCACTAGAAAAACAAATTGTGGGGTTAGGTGACATGTAAAACAGAATACTAACAATTTTTCGAGATATTTTCAATAGAACACATTATTCTCTCACAAGAAGTTCTACGCACCTGATATTTTATGATATCTCATAAAAACAAATCCACTAATACCAAGTTGTGGTTGTTGGCTGACCGACCAATCATAGTATCCAACTCCTTGGATATTGCATTTTTAGAAAACTTTTGTTTTGCTATATTATGTTCTAAGAAATGATATCCAGTTAATTTTTCATCTAGAAACAACCACCAAACTTCAAATTTGTATCACTGGATTTTTATTTCATGTATTTGTCTAGGACTACTTACTACAGTATCGCATATTTTGTCTATTATATCTCTTTATTGTAATCAACAAACCTTCATCCTTCAATAAAATATATTTCTGAATTTATTATTTTCGTTAAATCCATGGAAAAATTCCAAAAATCTGCATCCTTTGGCACTAAGCTTACGGGTTTTTGCGAAATTTAAACGCAGTGTAATTATATTTCTTCAAAACTGAGTGGACTGGACTGTGAGTCAATATGTCAAAAGCTGAGGGCAGTTTTCGAAATTAAATGAAGATTTCTTATTTCCTATATACGGGGTAGCTTAGGGAGGTATCGAACATAATTTCTTAATATTGAAATTATTTCTACATGATACTGGATTGGTCGAAACTAGTGATTTGAATGATATATGTAGGTATGTATGCATATTATTACATATTCTAACAGCAAATTAAATCATCCATTCGAATGGTGTATCATGTTCCTATATCTAAAGCGTTTAAATAAAATAAAAGCCAGTTTCTCTGAAAACTGCATTACTTTGGCATAGTTCATTTTTTAGGTGGCCATGAAATATCCGTTTTATGTTAAATAATTAATTTTCGATTTGACAGTTAAAGATATTATTATTGATTATTGATTGTGATACAAATTTTGTCGATCAAATAGGTTCAAAATGGCCGGAAACACGAATTCTAATGCTGTCTTAATGAATTTGTTTATTATGCTTTGAATTTGTTAATTTGCTTTAAATTATTTATTTAATTTATATTTCTATATAGGTACAATAAAAACATTAATTATAAAATACTTTTACTGTTTTATAAGTGAAAGTCGAATTTTTCATTTTTCTGCTGGATATGGATTAAAAGATTTTCACTACTTTTACCTATGTCAAGTTTTTATCTATTATTATATAGTATTACAGTTATTACAATTTATTAAAAAATCACCTATTCTACTCCAAAACAGTACTCTATAGTCAATTAATTATATCCTAGCATTGTAGCCATTTTCTACGACGAGAA